ACACACACACACACACACACACACACACACACACACACACACACACTCACATATGTATACAGGCATGACCAGTGAGGGAAGTTGTTTTGCTTATCCATATTTATTACAAGAGCTACATTTTTCTCTTATTTTCCAATTAGAGATGTAGGGAAAGTTGGGGGAGAGAAAGAAGGATTTTGGTTAATTGAAATGATAATGAATATTATGTAAAAAAAAAAAAAGAAATGCAAATTAACTTTGGTAGTATTGCTATTGAGCAGCCATGAATACTACATATTAATTACCTCAACTATTTAAATAATTATTTGGCTAAAGGGCACCCTATGATTGAATATACCCAAGTATTTGTTGTGTTTTAGTAGATTAAAACCCAAATAGTTTATACATTTTATAGTTGCCTAGAATGGAACTTCCCTTTCTATTTCTACCGCTTGGATTTTGTTAGTACTATATAAAGAAATGCTACTGATTTCTGTAGGTTTATTTTGTAGCCTGAAGCTACTGTCCCAATTAGTACCTCTGATTCTGCACTATTTTTCTAACTAAAACATCATGTCATGAGCAAAGAGATACGTTTATCTCCTCTTCACTATCTTTATACCTTTTCTTTAGATGAATCAATATTTTAAGGACTAAACTCTATAATTTTTTTAAAATTTATTTATTCTTGTATTATTTCTTATGTTATTCAAGTTTTTTGATTTTTTGTTTCTGAAAGACCTATAATCCTTAAGTTACAGGCATCTTGCTTTGATATCAATATGTTTTGCTTGTATGGGTATAATTTTTTTAAACATCACTGCTTTTTGCTTTTCTTCCAGAATGGAAATGTGTGAAGTGAAGTGAAGGATAATCATTCATTCTTTCATTTGTTTCTTCAGGGAAATTAATCACTATGGATTAAAGGTTTTCTAATATGCTAATTACATATGTTGGGTAGGCCATAAATTCTGCTTTCAGAGTTCTTATTTCTCATATTTGGTAACATCATGTTGTCTTTCCATGCTCTCCTAGAAATCCACAGGGTCATCTGTCTCATGGATGTTGCTTCCTTTTCCTTTGTTTTTTAAAAATATTTACTCGGAGATATTTGGACTCATTTAGCTGTCCTAGAAGTGATCTTCCCTTCTATTTTTAATATCTTCCTTGCTGATTTGTCTACTTGTTCTCAATGCTCTTAATTGATTTTCTACCTCCTGAGATGTTTAGTAATTTTAGTCTTTTTTCCTTATATTCTCTTATATCTCATTTTCTGACTTCTTCCCCTCTGATGGCGAATGCTCAAGGGTTGGATTTCAAAGCTATTTCAGCTTCTTCCCACACTGGGGAATTCACTTCTCATTGGCTTCAGCCCCAAATGACTTCTGGGTTGGAGGTGAGAGGGAATTCACCCTACCCTGGTGGAACTCAACCCTCTCATCCCTCACCCCTTACTCCCAATATATGCTGGCACTCTGCTCCAGGTCCCTTTGTATTTAATTTTCTGGCTACGTACTGCTTCAGCATTACAGGGATGGCAGTCCCAGGCAGAGTAAGCTTCAATTTTTCTATACCTCTAGCATGGGTGTCAGGGGGAGAGTGCTGAAGAGAGAAGAATTTAGTTTTTGATGCTTGTTTAACAGAATGGTGGGGTGAGAAAATTGCTAGGTGGATCCCAGAGCACTAGCCCATAGCTCCGACAGAGTATGTGGGCTGGTGGGTGAGAGGAGTGTTAAGTGAAGACTATAATGAAATAGTTTTCTCTGCTGCTAACTACTCAAATTTTTACCTTTTTAAGGCTCGTGGTATGAAGACAGCTGCAATTAATATACTTCTTGGGGAATTTTGAGAATTCAGAGATCTTAGGAAGTCTAGTTCTCCATTTTGTTTACCATGTGACTGGAACCCCCTTATATGTCTTTTAAAATTCTGATTGAGTTCCCTGCATAAAGTCTCTATGATTTAGAAATTTCTCTCTCCCTTTTGTCTTTCTTATGGGAACAATTTCTGTTGGTATCAACAGAATTATATTGTTTACAGCATTCCATCCCTCTTGTACCAACTTAACCATACATAATCTCAAGCTATGAAATCGTACATATACTTTCTCTTAACTGTTTAAAATAGTTTCTTCCCAAATCTTGCTTCAGAGCCAGACTATGCCCAGAAATTCTTCTCCTTGATACTCATGAATCTAAGATGTCATGGTTACGTCTTTCTCTTACTTCTATTTCAACAACCAGTTCCTCCTACTGGTTAAAATCAGGTCAAGGATACCAGTTTCCCTCCACCCTTCCTACATTGTGTGGTCCAGTCAGATGGCCTTTCTGGCTGTTCCTCACACACAACATCCCATTTCTCATTTCTGTCTTTGCAACAGCTATTCCCCATGCCTACAGTGTAATTCCTCCTCATCTCTACCTTTTAGAATCCCCTGTTTGCTTGAAAACTTAGTTCAAACACTCTCTTCCTCCCTTTCCCCTTCCCATGATCCCCTTAGCTACTAGTGCACCCCATTACCTTGTACATACTTATATAGGTACATGTAGCTTTCACTGATAGAATGTAAGCTCCTTGGAGGACTGTTTCATTTTTTGTGTCCTCAGTGTTTCTTCCACAAAGTTCTACTCTGATACTTCCTCATGGTGTGGAGGATTCTACCAGGGTTCTGGGTTCTCAAGGCTATGGCAGGTTCTACAATGTTAGAAAAACTTCAGTGATAGCCCTGGCAAAAGACCAAGTCTATTTCCCAAGCTAACTACAGAGAGAGACATCACCAGTGCAACGGCCAGCAGGTAATGAATTTGTTTTTGGCCACAGCATACAAGCCATGAAATAAATTTTAAAAAATTTAAATGCCCTCAGATCTGTTCATCCTCATTTTGCTTCTATAGTGATGGTGCCATATTGGCAAGAAAGAAGACAAGACAGTGGGTGCTAAGAATCATGATTTTTAGGCCATCAATAGACTTTAACTTGACTAATAGTTCTCTAAACGTGAGATCTTCATACAATTACCACGGAGTAGACATATTGCTAAAGAATCTGAATCAATCTTGACATTCTTGCTATAATAAAAACCAAAAGAAAGAAAGAAGTTTCAGCTAAATGAAAAGATGGCTAACTAATCAGAAAGACAAAGAAAACAGTTAGTGGAATGGGTTTTATTGTACCACCAAAGATAAGAATATTTGTTCATCATCTGTTACAATACCAACAAACCAAATAAGATAACACATGTACAGTGCTTTGTAAACTTTAAAGAGCTCTACAAATACTTGCTATTATTATCATTATTCACCAAAAACAACAACAAAAAAAAACTCCACAATAACAACTGCAGCTTATACACCAAAATCAGCTTCCATGGTTTAAGAGGTAGAGAAAAATTTATGAAGTACTTGATAAGACCCTCCAAACTAAATCAATAAACACTCTGATATTTGGTAACTTCAATGGGAAAAGTAGAAAAGGTAAAGAAGGGAAGAAGTATATGGGAAAGCATGGTTCAGAAAGAAGAAAGCAGAGTCCAAAGTCTTGCAGATTACACAGAAGCTCCATGCCTCTTCAGCACAAAAACTTTCTTAAAGAAAAGAATTGATAGGTGTTATCAAATAACATCATAAATAACAAATATATGTATAAATATTTACCAAACAGAAAAAGACTTGTTTTTGATATGAAAGTTATCCCTGAGTAAGCAATCTAAATTAACTCAGGTTGTTCTCAATACATATACTTGTTGAATATCCTGTTATGCTAAGTAAACTTCCTTTTGCTAATTGTTGAATAATTTCAACATATTTCATTTTGTTCTAATATTGAACCTAAAGCACCAAAGGGCTAGCCTGAGTCAAGGCACATCCCAGAATACGCGTCAATACAAAATCTTTGTGAAAGTCATCTATACACGAACTGAAAGCATCCTTGATGATGCAATTTGTAGGGAACAAGCAGGCTTCTACAGACAAGATTCATCAATGGCTCATAATTTCACCATTTCACAATGAAGTTAAATATATAAAGAACAAAAGATTCCATTGGTCATTACTCAAGTCTCTGATTTGGTAGAACAAGATGCCTCCCTACAAGTGCTTTTACAATTAAGTATGTACTATCCAGACATCAGAATCATTCAAAATTGCTTGAAAAATATATCTGAAATAACCCTGCTCAACAATCCTCTGGATAATAAACAACAAATGAGGCATGAAACAGGGAGATGTGTGTTTGCCAAAGGTATTTGCCACTGTAATGGATAAGATCCAGTGGAAAGTCCAAGTTGAAGAGGAATTACCTGTAGATGGTGAGGTCCTCCAGATGTTCCTGTTTGTGGATGACACTGTGCTGATTACATCAAGCCCCGGGACACTGCAGAGCCTCCTGGAAGAGATCTGTAATCACTCAAAGGAGTTTGGACTATCTATCCACACAGGAAAGATCAGATAGATGAAGAACATCCATTGTACAAAATATACATGCATTTAGAGAGACAATCTATAAAGAGTTTATCCATCCGATGTATATCTGGGTAAGACAGTACAGATGGGCAATGAGGTGGGCCCAGAGTTGAATAGGTGAAGAGCATGCTAAATTGACTTGAGGAAATTGCAAAGCTCATTGATTTCAAAGCTTATCATGATGGCAAAGGCATATCTTTTAATACTAATATCTTACCAGCATTGCTATATGGCAGCAAGACATGGAATTACAAAGAATTAAAAATGAGTAGCACACCGAAGGCAATGGATAACATACATAGTGGGAGTATTTAAGCTATTAACAGCTAACTGGGAAGGAATTCTGAATAACGGAGTAAAAGATATCAAGGAATTACATGATAGGAAGAGAAAATGGGCTGGCCACATGACAAGGGCAAGGGATGACAGGTTAGATAGTTACAGTGGTCCAATGGTAGATTGTGATATTAGGAGAAACCAAGGAAGGCTTCCAGCATGTTGGTTGGGCCACTATGACAAACTTATGGAAGCACATGAATAAGAATCACACAGGATGGACGCACATGAATGAGTTGCAAGCTGAATCACTAGAGAAAACTTCTCAATCTATGAGAGTGTAGACCCATTTGAGTAATTGTATATTGTCCCAAATGCCTAATAGGCACTTAAGAAATGCTCAGTGATTGAAGTTTAAAATTTCTTCAGCTGTTTTTTAGTATAGAGCAGGAGTTCTTATCATTTTTGGCATCATGGACCCCTCTGGCAATCTGATTTAGCCATACTGACCTGATTACTGTTTCACAAATACACTTTATCTCCTAACTCCATACATTTTTACCTGTTTTCCCCCATACCTGGAACACTCTCCTCATTTCCACTTCCTGGCTTTCAATTCCCATGATGCTACAGTGCCTTCCTTCTGAGTGTTTATCTCCAATTTATTCTGTAAATACCTTGTTTATACATAGTTGTTTTCTTGAGGGTTGGGAAGGGTTTTTATTATTGTTTTGTTTTTCATTTCTTTATAAGCCGGCGCTTATGTCCCTGGTACATAACAGGTGCTTTTTGATTTGAACTGGTGAAGGCTATGGACTCTTTCTCAGAGCTTTTTTAAATGCATAAAACAAAATATATAGATTGAAAAGAAAGACAAGATTATTAAAATACAGTTATCAAAATATTTTAAAAATCAAGTTCATACACCAGATGTAGAGAAACTGTCAAACTCTAATATAAAAACCCAAAAGACTATCACTCATAGATTTTGAAGATTGAAACAATGTCATTCATTAATGTCACTTGTGAATGTCACTTGTGTTTTTAGCCTTTCAATTAAAAGTACTTTAATATGCAGTATGCTTTAAGCTTTTTTAAAGAAATATACAATAATTCTTTACTTATCTGGAATCATTAGGAAATGAGGTCATAGGATATAGTAAAAGTTAAGAGTGACACCCTGAAGAACTCATTGGTCATGACCACCTCGTTTTATAGATGAAGACACTGAAGTCCAGAGAGAATAGGTGACTTAAAGGTCACATAGGGAATAAACAGAAAAGCTGTTTTCCACTGAACAGAAATACTTAAAAAATTTCACTTAAGCACTAATACATTAATCATTTTGAACTTCTAACTTTTTCTTAAATCTCTGCTATAGCCCAGTGATGCTCTTTCATAGAATAGCAAGGTATGAAGGCTGTTTGGCCCAGGTTGTTGTTGTTGTTGTTGTTGTTGTTGTTGTTTTAAAATTGTTCTGCTTACCAATTATTTCTATGTGCTTACAGCCACCTTGATTTCCTTCACCACCTAGCTTTGACAATAAGATACCAGACACTGTGCTTTTTAAGGAACCAAAACATATAAAGGCTACATATCAAAGCTCAAGTACTTTAGATATAGGAGAGCTTTAACTAAATAAAATCTATTTTCACCCTGGCAAATTTCTGTCTTGGTTATCTAGTTTCCTAGTCTTCAAAAATTTCAAAGTATCAAATTATATTAAGGAGGGGTGGGTGGGCAACAGACTTTAGAAATAAAAAGGTATCTCTGATGTCATCTAATCCAAACCATTTTTATACTTGTGGAATTTGAGTCCTTGAAGTATTTATTAATTCATCTAACGTCACCCAAATAGGGAGTGGCAGGGTTGAGATTTCAATCATGGCCCTCTAACTGCAAATTTCACACTCTTTCCATTTCTTCAAACTGCCTCCAAAAGATTAAAGCAGGGAAAACAGAAGAGGAGGGCTCATTAAATCTCTAACTTTCTAGCTACCTGAGACCAGGAGTGAGAGAAAAGTGTGGGGTTATCAACCTGTTATACCAGGTCTTAGAAGTATGGTACTTCATGCCCCATTGTGGAGCAAACATGTTTACAGAATGGGGGATAAGTGTTCTGACACTGGGGCACTGGGTTCTGGTTCCCCAAGGTGGGGTGGAGGGAAGAGGAGAGAGCAGTGTGGCCAGGAGCTCAGGCACCATGAACAGCTTCAGCAAGGAAGATCACAAATCAGAGGGTAACAAAAAGGTGGAATGAAGAATCTAACTTTGTAAATAAATTAAGTATAATACCAAATGAACTGGAAACACTTGGTACATTTACACTTACACTTTTACTGTAAATTTAGGAAGAATTCCATTTTCAGTTCAGTTCAATGAAGATTTATTAAGCACTTACTATATATAAAGCATTATGTGGCCAAGAGTAGTATATTCTAATGTTTCAGCATACATATAGAAAGACTTTCTGATAAGACTGGACTGAAAGATAGAGTCAAGAACTCTTCCATGGCTGTGGCAGACTATGATGCAGATTATCTCACTAAATAATTTCTTCTGGAAATATGGAATGTCATAGGTAATAGTAATAATGAGCTAGCTAACAGCTAATATTGCACTTTAAGGTTTGCAAAGCTCTTTACAAATATTACATCACTTCATCTCCACAACAAGCCTGGGAGGTAGGTGCTATTATTATCTTCATTTTATAAATGAAAAAACTGAGGATAAAAGTTAAGTGACTTGCCCACGGTCACATAGTGTGTGTCTGAGGCAGTATTTTAACTCAGGTCTTTTTGGCTCCAGGTACAGTACTCTATCCATTAAGCCAGATGTTCTTTATGTTGGGATCTAGCAGTGGACACCAGGGAAGCAGTAGGCAGAGTGACGTACGTCCCTGCATAAAGCCTGCCCAGGACCCAGAAGTCCCTCCTTTCTCACCAGTTTTGTAGTTCACTGTAGTCAGCCAACATATTCTTCTAAATCCATTTGAAATGAGTTTTCAAGCCTGGTACATTGACTGCACATTCACAGATGGATCTTTTGGTTCACTAAGGATAAAAAATTTCAAATGTGACACTGCTATGGATCTCAGTTGGATTAGATGACTCTCCAAGTCCCTTTCCAACTTTAAGATTGTATGAACCTATATGAAGGCCTTTTTTTTTTTTTTTTTTTTTTTTGCTGAAGCTATGAGCTGTACCCCTAACTACCTACCTTCTACAACATATTTCTTGGCTGAATAGGAGACATCTCTTTTTGGTGACTTTGTCTTCAGGCTTTAGGGAAAATGGTAGTCCACAGTTCAAAAACATAAAAATAGTGGGTGAATGATAGCCACCATTCAGGATAAACCTAGTTAAGGAGTAGAAAATATGTGGATTCCAAAGATCACACAGCATTGTTAGTCCTCCAAGAATGACCATGACAACTCTTCTACACCAGTGACCCATGCAATCAAGTACAATTTATTTTCCCTTTTGGGGAAAAGACTGATAAAATGATAAGTTTAGTAATTTATACATGGTTTGATGTTTTAAAGGTCAGATTCCTCCCATCTAATCATCTGTCAAATGTATATTCTTTTTTTCTTCCCTAAGTTTTATCTTGAAAAATATACTTGTAAAAGACTAATCTGGATATTTAGGTGGGGGCAGGGGAAGCTTGTATTTTTAAAAACAAACAGCAAACAATTTATACTGACAGTTAAATTTTAAAAAATCAATGGTTTTAATTCAAAATGTAAGCATGTACAGGAATTTACAGAATAAAACAAAATTTACAAACAACAATAGCTAGTCAAATGCATTCAGGGTCGTGTTCTATTTCAAGTATCAGGTAGATTTAAGAAGAGGATTTGTTGTCTTTACCAATAATCCTAGAAAATTCCAATCATTTTACTTATGCACCTCATTCCAACTCAGACCTTTCTTGTATTTCAAAGTAGCTCAAAAGAAACATTCCAAACGTTCATATGGATTACCTCTGCCAGACTTGGTAGAGCCTTCCAAGCTCATGCTAGTTTGATCAGCCACAGCTGGATACATCATACATTGACCCCAACACAGCGATATCACTTTGGTCTTCTTCAATTACAAAGGACAATAACCAAGTAAAAGGAGAAAAATGGGTAGTTCACATCTCTATGTAATAACCTATAAAAAGTTCAAAATAAAATACTCAAGCTGATACATCATAGCTTTTTTTTTATTAGAACTTATGAAGTCTTTGATATCACATAACTATATTGAAAATTCCCTCATTTTACAAGGCTGAATTACAGTATAGATTACCATTGACAACAACTTCCACACATAGCCCTGGGCCACCAACCATTAAATTTATAAGATATTTATGGAAAGAATCAACACAATTATTATCTGAAGACAATGTAACATGATATTGTGACAAGTAACATTCTTACTTGCTTGAGTCACTCATCTAGTAGGTTCAAGTTCCAAGGAACCATAGTCAAGGATCACAGCTTCTATAATGAACAAGAGGAGAACTTGGAATACAATACTCTAAAAAAGCAAAAGATAGAGACCCTGCAAAGTATAATACTAAAGGGGAAATAAAATAGATCTGTAATGTATGAAAGCATATCAAATAACTCTCTTTTAGTTCAACTGAAAATATTAGGAATTTTTTTTCTAGTCTAAAAATTTTATAGACTTTTTCTTTTAGGGAAGTGTGTAGAAGATTTAAGACAAAAAGGCCTTCCTCTGGAAAAATGGATTAGGGTGAAAACTAAATTTAACTCTTATCTCATTAAAATCAAGTCAAGTAGGCCTAGGACATAGTTGTTGGCATGTTATCTCCTTGACAGCAGGAACTGGTTTTTACCCATCTTTGTATCTACAGGGCTTAGCATGATGCCTGGTACTGAGACGCACTTAATAAATGTTTATTAATTTGACTACTATCTTTTCTTTTCTTTACCCCTTAATCTTTTTCTTCCTAGAATACTATCTCATAGAACCCAGAAGTACAATCTGGACATTAATAATGTGATTCTTCAAAGGTTTCTCCATTTAAAACCACATAAGTGCTCAATAAATTCTTATTAACTCGACAGACCAAAGTACTTTGTAAAATATGGCATTTTTAGTCAAGAACCCAATCGATCTCAGAGAAGGGATAAGTTGGGGAAACTGGGAATGTTTAATCTGAAGAGAGAAATTCAATTAAATCAACAAGTACTGGTTATCTGCTGTGTAGTGACCACTCTGCTACGCACAGAGGGTACAAAGATACAATCCATGCCTTCCCAGCAAAACATAATCCATGCCTTTATGATTTTCAGTCTTTCTCGGCTATGTCCAACTCTTCTGACCCCATTTGGAGTTTTCTTGGAAGAGATACTGGAGTGGTTTGCCATTTCCTTCTCCAGCTCATTTTACAGATGAAGAACTGAGGCAAATAGGGTCAAGGGACTTGCCCAGGGTCATATAGCTAGTAAGTGTCTGAGGCCAGATTTTAATGGAGGAACATGAGTCTTCCTGACTCCAGGCTTGACACTCTATCCACTGCACCACCAAGATCCTTGCTTTATGATAGTCACCAATATTTGAAGGGCTAAACCACAGAAGAGGGATCAAACTTGTCCTGCTTGGTCCCAAAGAAAGATCTAGAAGCAACGTACAGAAATGACAGAGAAGCACATTTCATCCAATATAAGGGAAAACTTCCTATGTTAAAGGTGTCAAAAATGGAACGAATGAGTTCCGACCAATGAAGGTCTCCAAGTAGAGTTGGATGACTCTTTGATATCCAAGGAGGGCCTTTAGCTAAGTTATTTGTCTTCCTCAAATCTCAAATACCATTGTGTCTGGACCTCTACTAAGCATCTGACATAACTTGTATTATACCTTTCATTCTTTTAAATCTTTCATTAAAGCCTTTGAGAGAAGGGATCATATATTTTTATATCCCCAGGACTTAAGATAATGCATTGCATACAAGAAGCATTTTTTTTTTGTTGAACTGAAAATACTGAAGAAAAAAACTCAAAGGTCCCTTCAAACTTTGCCATTCTATGATTTAATAAGCCTCATCACCTACATAGGACAATTATACCAAAACAACTTGTAGATTTGGAGAAAATTTCAAAGATTTTATATGAAGTCCCCCACAAAAGAAATCTTTTTTGGTTGGCAGTTCTTTTTCACTCAACTGAATCCTTAGAGCAACTGTCATAATAATAACATAAATTTCTAGTTTATGTGCATATGTCAGTAATATTGTATTTTTATTAAAAAAAAATAGGTAACCGTTAAAAAGAAACTGTTCTTCTCCTACTTCTGTGGGCTTTTCTACTGCCAACATGGCAGGGGAATGGAGATTATGATGTTTAGCCTGGAGAGAATTCAGCCAACAAGTAGTAGGAGATCTAGACATGAAAGGCCACGGAAGTATCATGAAAATTTTATGGGGAAAAAACAGTCAACAGTGTCAAGTGTAATTAGAGAAGTCAAAAAGGAAAGAGGTCTACAAAAAGGCCACTAGAGATATAGACACTAAAAAAACACTGGAACTTTGGAGAGAACAGTTTCAACTGAGTGTTAAGCTCAAAAGCCTGACTGCAAAAGGCTGAGGATTGAGAGAAAGAAAAGGAAGGAGCTTGCCGGATTCCTTCAGTTCCCAGGTTAAATGCCACCTTTCTACAGGAAGCCTTTCCCAATCTCTCTTAATGCCCTTCCTCTGTGGATTATTTCCTATTTATCCTGTACACAGCTCATTTGTACACAGATGTTCACATGTCTCTCCAATTAGACTGGGAAAGGCTCAAAGGCAGGGACTGTCTTTTTCCTTTCTTTGTATCCCCAGCACTTAGCACAGTGCCTAGCACATAGTACGTACTTAATAAATGTTTACTGACTGAATGAAGTAGAATTGATGAGTATATAGAACTTTTCCTGGGAATTTGACTAAAGGGAAGAAAGACAGGCAAGTTAAGTGGTGCAGTGAATAAAGCACAGGTATATATTATTCTTCTATTAGATTCTAAGTTTCGTAAAAGGCAGACACCATACAAACCTTTGTACAAGCTTAGTGTTCTTCATACAGTAAGCACTTAATAAATATTTGTCATAAAAGTGATTTTACATGGATACTTGTTCAAAAGAACAAGTGTGGTATAGTAAAAACAGTCTTGATTAAGAGTCAGGAGAACTGGGTCTGAATAAGCTAGCGCCAGGGGTGGGGATCCTGCATCCTGGAGGCTACATGTGGCCTACTATGTTTTTGGGTGCAGCTTTTTGACTGAGTCCAAGTTTTGCAGAACAAATCCTTTTATTAAGGGGATTTGTTCTGGGAAGTTTAGATTCAGTCAAAGAGCCGCACTTGAGGACCTACAGGGCCACATGTAGCCTCGAAGACGCAGGTTCCCCAACCATAATAGCAAATCATTTTATAATCACTGATTCTAGTAAGGTTAATTTGTTAAAAATAATTACAAAACATCTCTTATTTGAAAGGACAACATAATGTGCTTCATACACATACAAAATGCTTCATTCAGGTAAAAATTAATATATTAGTCAAAATATTAAAGCTAGCGTATTTTAATCAAATTGCTATCCTCACTTTATAAAGTTATAGGTTATTGTAGCTAATTATATATGAATACTATTCCTAAAATCATAAATCTAAAGATTTAAGATTAAGGGGAAAATTGAAAAAATATCAAATTTATATTGAAGGATCCTTTTCCAAGTGCTTTTAGACCAAATCTATATTTAAGTTAGCCTGCCAAAGAATTTCCAAAAAGAAAACATTTAAATTACAGCCCCAGATTGTTACCAGCTCTTCCAAGCTCACCTATACAGCCCCAAATTAGACTAGTAACACTAAATTATAAATAGCAGAAAGAAAATGTTCAGTTCACATATAAAAATTGACCATGACAATTTTGGAACACAGGAAAAGTATAACAGAGAAAAGTTTCAAGAGCTTCTTTCATCTGGTTGGCTTATTTTAGGCCATGGTTACACAGTTAAGGTTATTTTCACGATTGTTTTGCCTTAAGCTCCAAGGAGTTCACATAGAATCAATTATTGTTTGCTTCATGCCAGGCACCAAGATACTAAGCAAAAACAAAAACAGTCTTTTGCTCTTAAGGAGCTTGCATTCTAAAAAAGATAACAGGTACATTTATAGGTATATACAAGATACCAACAGAAACAAAGTTAGCTCAGGCATAAAATTCCAAAATTAGTTTCCTTTGCAATTCAAAAATATTTACTGTACATTTATTCCAGACACTGCACATTCTCATTCAACGATAATAATAACAGTAGTTGCTATAATGGTACTTACAATTTAAGAGGGATCAGATTAGAGGGGGTCACAGATTTAGAACTGGAAGGAAACTTAGAAATCTTCTAGGCAAATCTCTTTTCTTTACAGATGAGCTAACCGAGATTGAAAGTAACTGAGCAACATGTCCAAAGTCAGGAAGGTTATTTTACATGTGAATCCGGGCCTTTTGACTCAACGTCAAGTGTTCTTATCAACAAAACACACAGCCATCAAGTATATAAATGACTATGATATATATGACTATGATGTTATTTTTATTATATTAGCTTGGTCTACCCATAAGCAACTGATGTTTTTCCAATTATTCAGATCAGACTTTATTTGTGTGAAAAGTGTTTTGTAATTGTATTCATACAGTTCCTGGGTTTGTTTTGGTAGGTATACTCCTAAATATTTTATAATGTCTACAGTAATTTTAAATGGAATTTCTCTTTCTATGTCTTGCTGTTGGGCTTTGTTGCTAATATATAGAAATGCCAATGATTTACGTTGGTTTATTTTATAGCCTGCAACTTTGCTAAAGTTGTTTATTATGTCAAATAGTTTTTTACTTGATTCTCTAGGATTCTCTAAGTATATCATCATATCATCTGCAAAGAGTGATAGCTTTGTTTCTTCTTTGCCTATTTTAATACCTTCAATTTCTTTTTCTTCTTTTACTGCTAAAGCTAACATTTCCAGTATGATATTGAACAACAGTGGCGATAATGGACATCTTTGTTTCACCCCCAAAATTATTGGAAATGCTTCTAGCTTGTC